CCCCCCGCTCCACCCACTCCCACAAGCCAGCCTGGGTTTCAGTTTCCAGCCTGCTGAAGGCCTGGGTCAAGGGAGGCTCCTCTTCCTCACCGTCCAGATGAGCTAACGCCCTGGGTGTCTCACAGGGGCTGGCTGTGGGCAATGGACTCTCCTGCTACGAGCAGAATGACAACTCCCTGGTCTATTTCGCCTACTACCATGGCCTTCTGGGAAACAGGTATGGGAGGGGACCGTTGGGCAATCTCTGGGGCGCAGCAGGTCATGGGACCTCAGGTCTGTCCGCCAGGCACATGATATCCTGGGTCCTACCCTGGTTGATGAGCAGAAGGGCGGTGGGGGGGGGGGGCTGGGTTTGCTAGAAAGGTTTTAGTGCTGAAAGGCCAAAGCATAGACATCAGAGTGTAAAGGGACGAAGGAGGGCTGCAGCATGGCCCAGGGCAGCCAGGTTTGGGAGCTACATACCACGCCCTGTGATAAATGTCATTGTTCCCTGGGATTAGGTCCCTTGGGTCCAGGCCGTGATGGGAGGTTGAGAAGATGGGGTGTTCACCTTCTCTGCCCACCATGGGCCTCAGCAAATCTCACTCATCTCCTACAGGCTCTGGTCTTCCCTCCAGACCCACTGCTGCTTTCAAAACAAGTGTAACTTCTATGACAACAAAGACCTGGAATGCGTGACCAATGTGAGGTTCTGCCCCTGCCCTCCGTCACCCCTGACAGCCCCCATCCTGAGAAGGGGACCACATCCCCTTTGGGGACTCCTCCCCCCCATCCCCCTGTTGCTTCCTGTCCTGCACCCTTCAGCAATTCGACGTCCTCTGGGACACATGAGTATGGATGTGTTCCCACACCACTTCCTGTGACTTCCCTGTGAGGGGAAAGGGCTTCTCACTCATCCATCGTCTGCGATGTGCCAGGACTGTGCTCAACTATGGCAGTGGGGATTGTTCCATCTTCAAGAGTCTCCTTCAAGGGAGATGGTATTAGGCACATTTTCCAGATAAGGAAACTGAGGCCCAGCGTGTCGAAGTCACTTGCCTGAGGTCACAGTGCTAGGAAGTAGAGGCCTTAGGATTTGGACCTGGGACCGGCAGATTCCTTCCACTGAGCCTCAGTTTCCCTGCCTGTGAAGAAAGGGGGGAAAGGGTAGTGACCAAGCGAAGCAGGAGAGCAGTAAATCTTGGGGCGCTGCTGGGGAGGTCATGGGGAGGCCAGGATTCTGTAAAGCATGGTGGCTTTTGGGGTATCATTGCAGCTTCAGGAAGTGTCCCACATCGTGGACAGCTCCGGCCTCAACGTCTACAACCTCTACGCTCCATGTGCTGGGGGGGTGCCCAGCCATCTAAGGTGGGCCCTGCCGTGTGCCCCTTGGGCCAACCCCAGTCCCATCTGGAGCCTCAGGCACTCATCCCCCGACCTCACTTGCAGGTACGAGAAGGACACTGTCGTGGTCCAGGATCTGGGCAACACCTTCACTCGCCTGCCACACAAGCGGATGTGGCATGAGGTGTGCAAGGGCCCACACTCACCTCCCAGCAGGGTGGGGCGGGACAGGGCAGGGAAGCAAAGATCCTGACCCTCTGTGCCCCGCCAGGCACTGCTGCGTTCTGCGGGAAAGGTGCGCCTGGACCCCCCCTGCACCAACACCACAGCCGCCTCCACCTACCTCAACAACCCTCTCGTGCGGAAGGCCCTCCACATCCCCAAGCAGCTGCCCCGCTGGGACATGTGCAAGTGGGTTTCTGTGACCGCTTGTGGCCTGAGGGGTGGCGGGCTGTTGTTCCCAGGGATCCTTTGGCTAGGGTTTCTCAATGGGGACACAGAGGGCGTTTGGGGTGTGACAGTGAATTGTACAATAGGATGTTCAAGGTCTCTGACCCCGAAGTTGATTGATATTCAGCCACCTCATTCTTTTTTTTTTTTTTTTTTTTTTTGAGTTCCCAACCAGGGATTGAACCCGAGCCCTTGGCAGTGAAAACACAGGAGTCCTAACCACTGGACCTCCAGGGAATTCCCCCAGCCACTTCATTCTTTTTTTTTTTTTTAAATCCTTGGCTGTGTCGGGTCTTCGTTGCGGTGCATGGGCTTCTCTCTAGTTGCAGCGCACGGGCTTCTCTCTAGTTGCGGCGCGTGGGCTCTATAGTTTGCGGCATGCAGGCTCTCTCGTTGAAGCGTGCGAGCTCAGTAGTTGTGGCACTGGCTTAGTTGCCCTGAGGCATGTGGGATCTTAGTTCCCCGACCAGGGATCCAACCCACGTCCCCTGCATTGGAAGGCGGATTCTTTACCACTGGACCACCAGGGAAGCCCCAGCCACTTCATTCTTAAGTAGCCACATTACTTGTTAAAATATCAATTACTTCAATGGTATTTAGTAAAAAGACACTCCCATCCCCAGCCCCTCCCTGACTCCGGTACCACCCTAGCTGCCCACATCTCCTATGAGCCCTACAAGTAAGAGGGTGATGCCTGGCACAGCAGGGGCCACTCAGTTCCATTCTGATTGGTCAGCACGAGCCCTTATGCACTAATGCCACTTGCACCCCAGCCACTGTGACAAAGTGTCCCTGTACATCTAAATGGAGGAGGGTTGGGGACCCTCTGAATTCCAGCCCCTCCCCCTCCAGCTACATAAGTCCTAGAGAGGTTACATGCCCAAGGAGGGACTGAATCCCAGCTATCTGCCTCCTAGGCGGGAGCTTGGGAAT